CATTTTTTATAGAAGATTAAAAACGAAATTTAAAATATTTATGGATACCAAAAAAATATTTAACTCTATAATAAAAATATTGGTAATGTGTGTCCTAAGAGCACCTACAATTAAAAAGTTTGTTCGGTTTTAGTTGTATTCAAAGTTATTAAATTTTGTTATTTTTTATGACAATTATTTATCTCTTTTCTATTCACTTTGTAACAAAATATAATAAAAATATATATGTATTTAACCAAAATTTAAATCATATATTAAAAAACAAATAAAAAACAATTGGTAGAATATATTTAAGAGATATTTAATATTATTTTTTAATTTTTGATTTAATTACAACTTTAATTTTTTTTCACCATCGATATAGTCCAATTCAGAGATCAGTTCTGACTAAAGTGATTTATATATTCATCTCTTTATATGAAACTCGTCCCACAATTTTAAAATCATTAAAAAAAATTTAAGAAACCAAAATAAATAAACAAGAGACATCCCTCTAGCACAAGATGTATTACAGGGATCACAAAATTTTATATCAAAGCATCAGAGCAAAAGTAACATCGTCATTGTAGACCCAAACAAACAAATGAGTTTTACCACCACAAATGTGATTCAGATCTAAATCTACCGAAATTAGCCTTTAGCCACCAAAAAGATACCAATTTTACTATATCTAACAATTGAGAAATAGTTAAAATTTTGGATTTAAATAACCTGTTACTTCTTTCTATCCACAACACTCATATAGTAACCGTAAGAAATCACGACACAAGTTATTTTCACCTGTAGAGTGAATAAACTGAATAAAGTGGTCCTTTATATGCAAAGGATCGGCCCCAACAATACCAATCCTAGAACGAAGTTGTTGCTAAATCGGACTAAAGACAGGACACTAAAGGAACAAGTGCTGAGCTGACTCCATCATTCCACACCCAGAAACACATAATTGGTCGTCTTGAGAAATAATTCCACGCATAACCAAATTTACCTTTGTAGGCAACCTATCCCACAAAAGCCTCCACACACGTATAGAAACCTTCGCAAGAACCTTCTTATGCCAAATAACATCCAAAATATACTCCTTTTGTTGGTCATCCCTCTTAGTGAGCATGTGATAAACATCACTGATAGTGTAGCTCGATCTTTCAGAAAGCACCCACCGCCACACATCCCGGCTTCCGTCCTGTAAAGAGCATCAAGTAAAAGCAGCATATACTCTTCCACCAGTTCCTCCTCCCATGCTAACAACCTCTTCCTCCACCTCCACATCCCTCCTCCTTCTCCCCACCCTAAGTAAAATATATTTGCCACTGTTTTCCATTTAAGCTCAAATAATTGGTAAAGAAGACTAAATCTCTCACATAAAGGCACCTCTCCTAACCAAGTATTCGTCCAAAAAATAGTATGAACACCATTGCCCACCTTCATACGCACATTCTCATTAAACCAACTTCCACCATCTAATCCCCTAACCCGAATCTGACACACATCCATTCACCAATTGGAACAACACCCCCTCATTTCTTCACCCGCCCCGCTTCCACCCCATACCTAGCTTCCAACACTTTTACCCATAACCCATTCCACTCGACTAACATCCTTCAACACTACTTTCCTAAAAAATCTATATTAAACTCCTTCATCCTCCTGACCCCCAGCCCCCCATACTCCTTATTTTTACAAATAGTCGTCCAGTCCACCCAAGCAGTTTTCCTATAGTTATCACTCCCATCCCAGAAGAAATTCATCAAGATAGAATCTAAGGGAGTAATTATACCTACTAGCGCTTTGAAGAAAGAGAGAGCATATATAGGCATAAAAGAAAGGGCAGACTTCAAGAGAATTAAATGACCTCCAAATGATAAATTGTGCCCCTTCCACCCAGATAACTTAGCTTTAATGTGATCCACCATCGGACCCCAAAAAGATAACTTCCTAGAATCTCCACCAATCAGTAGACTCAAGTACAAAAATGGAACCCTCCCAACTCTATAATGAAGTACTGAGGCTTCCTCATTTAGCCAAGACTCAAGAATATTGAGACTTACTAGCATACTTTTATGGAAATTTACTTTCAATCTTGACATATCCTCGAACATCACAAGAACAACCCGTAAGGCTCTTACATTAGCCCAAGTCTTAACCCCCACAAGAAAGGAGTCATCGGAAAACTGAAGATGAGAAAAAACTTTTGAAACCTCTGTGCCAATGGTGTATCCCGTAAAAAGATTATAATCTACCATTGCCTTCAATAAAACATGCAATCCTTCGACCGTCAGAAGAAAAAGAAAGGGAGAGAGTGGATCACCTTGTCGCAACCCCCTCTCAAATTGGAACTCCTATGTAGGACTACCATTTACTAAGACGGATGTTGTAGCCGTCCTAATGCCCTATTTCATCCACTTCCTCCATAAAATCGGAAAAGACATTCTCCCCATAACAACATCTAAGTAACCCCAATCCACAAAATTATATGCCTTTTCAAAGTCCACTTTAAATAACGTTAACTCTTTTTTTTAACTTACTTGCCAAATCCACCACCTCATTTTCTACCAAAATACCATCTAATATTTGCCGATCCTTTACAAAAGCAGACTAACACTCTGAGATAACACTTCCCATCACCAACCTCAGACGATTTGCCAACAATTTTTCCAAAATTTTATATAAATAACCCACAAGAGATACTAGACGAAATTCATTTAGTCTTCTGGAACACTCCACCTTAGAAATGAGAGCAATGAAAGTATTGTTAATGCCCTTCGATAAACAACCATTCCTGTGAAAATCTGTAATAAATCTCATGATATCATGCTTTACATCAAGCCAAAAATCTTTAATAAAACCCATATGAATACCATTCGACCCCGGGCTCTTACAACTATCACAACTTCATATTGCATCCTTCACTTCCGCATTAGAAAACAACCTTATTAAATTACCTCCTTGAGCATAAGATAGCGTATGGAACGCTAGATTCCCCACACTAGGCCTATTCACCTGAGCCGCTTTAAACTAGGATGCAAAATTCGTACAAACCGCCTCACGAACCTCATCAACCCCTTCAATAGTTGCCTCATTAACAAGAATAGAAGAGATAGAATTTCGTCACCGTCGACTTGACATAATAGCATGGAAATATTTAGAGTTTGCATCCCCCTCACGGGTCCGTGTAAGTCGTGCCTGAAACCACGAAATACTAGCATGGATTCAAGCAAGGGAATGTAAATCAGATGAAAGCCCCCTCAGTTCCAACTTCTCATCCTCGGATAACAAAGAATCATCCCCTTTTCTATTAATCTCAGAAGTATGAGCCTTAATAATATCCATCTTACCTGGCAAGTTCTGAACATGAGTAAGATATCAATCTTTAAGAGCCATTTTCATAGCCTTTAACTTTTCTTTCACCACAAACTGCCCCACCCCTGAATCTGAAAAGTCTTCCATGTATCTGAAACAAAATGATTATACCCAGGAATGTTCACCCAACATTTCAACATCCACAAAGGCTTAGGTCCCCAGTTTACTTCATCCATTGTTCATATAATTAGACAATGATCACATAGTCCTCACAAATGGGTAGCCTGCAAACAATTAGGCCAATTCAGAACCCAAACCTCCAAAAGCAAAAATCTATCTAGGCGGCTTATAGATTGACCATCACCCTTACACCATGTGAATTTTCGCCCATGCAATGACAGATCTGCTAAAAAGTTATCCTCAATGAAACAATTAAAAGCATCAGAATCCAATGACCTCGTACTCGACCTCTCCACTCTCTTCTACTCCTCCCTACGAACAACATTAAAATCCTCACAAACGCAAACATTTTTCCTCACCCACTGATGCATCCTCTCTGACAGATGAACACATAACAATTGTTTTGCCCCATTATCACACGCCACATACACATTAAAAACGAGAAATTCCTCGTTATCAGAGAGGAACCTCCCATGAACCAACAACACATGTGAAAAACTACAAGACGACCACACCTCCACCTCACAACAATCCAAAATAGCCAACAAGCCCCCGGATGCCCTAACGGACAGTCTAAAAGAGAATGAATGCGGCGATGCTCCCCATAACGAAGCACAAAAGAAGTCATCCTCCACCTCCAACTTAGTTTCTTGCAGACATAAATAGATGGTTTTTTCTCAATTACCAAATTTCTCACTTCCTTCCTTTTCGCCACCCCTCCCAACCCCCTTACCTTTCACGAAATAATCTTCACGACACACCCACCACACCCCTTACCCAACACCAATAAACATCACAACTACTCCTGTTTCCCCACCCTCCTTATCACCCACCCCCTTAAACACAACCTTAGCTCTGTCTCTATCATTAAACAAACTAGAATTAACATCATTAAAAAAATAATCAATTAACTTACCAATCTCCGTCACATCTCCAACAACCACTTTGTCATTACCATTCAAAATCATCCAGTTTAGTCAATCCTTATTCATAGATGGTGAAGAAGTATCTGACATTTGACTCTCCACCGAAATGACACTCGGTGCTATATTTATTTTAGATCCTTCCCAACGCTTTCGAATACTTTTATGTAAGACTTTAAGAACATATCTTATAGTATTTTAGAAATAAAAATAATATTATGATATTTTTAAATTATGTGCCACATCTAATGAGTGTGTTATTCATATAAATTAATTATATATTTTAAAAACTATTCATTTTTTAATTGAATTAATTGTCTAAAAACATTTAATTAAAAAATATATATGAGATAGGTCAAAAAATAAAGTATTTTAAAATAAGAGATCAATTACTGGGAATGGTAAAATAAAAGAACATAAATGGTAATAAAGTCTTTAGATTTTTTTAGATTTTCATTTGAATTTATTAAATTAATTTACAAATTCATACAAACAACTTTTAGAGTTAAACTTTTTATATTTTGTTCAAAGCACTATAAGAAGCAATGACATAGATGCTTCAAAAACATATCTTTGAAATATTTCTTTGAGCAAATTAAGATGGTAGTGAAGGTGTATGGACCAGATTATGCTTGCCCTAAACGGGTGATAGTGTGTCTCATTGAAAAAGAAATTGAGTTTGAAACAGTTCATGTCGATGGCTTTAAGGGAGAGCACAAAGAACCTCAATATCTCAAGTTGCAGGTTCTTTTTCTTTTCCTAATTCACTTTTGGTCTCAAATTTTAGTTCTTATGTACAATAAGTTAATGCTTGTTTTATTTGCAGCCCTTTGGATTACTACCTGTTATTCAAGATGGTGATTATATTCTTTATGGTTAGTTCCTTTTGTTAATGAAAAGTTTTGTGGTTTATTATAACTCTTCTAATTGAATTAATCTCTGCAGTTAGACACAAAAAATACTCAATTTTATATTTAAAAATAATCTTAAATAATTTAGATGTACATTAGAATTCTAATAGAGACATATGCATTCACATATTTAATGTATTGTTTGTTGCATTCAAATCACACAACTAATAAAAAAAAATTTTTTTTTTTAATTTGAAAAATCTAAAATGCTGATATTGATAAAACGATCACAAACAATACAAAAAAAATGGTTATGGATAGAATTGTTCTTGGTGCACTTCAGTAAAAAAAATCGAACGAATTGAAGTGAATCATAATAAAAGATTATATGAACTTAACTAAACTGCTTCAATTTACTTAAAATCGAAATGAACCAAAATAATTGATTTGGACGTTTGATATATCGGTTTCTGTTCGATTCAGTTTCAACTTAGTTTATTTTTCATTTGGTTTGGCTCTAAAAGTGTTTGTATAACATGGTTCATTTCACTATCCAAATATAATAAATATAACAGTTCAATTATTTTAACTTCAGTTCGGTTTGCCAATATTTTTGAACAGTAATGATACAAAATGTGTTGATTACATGAATTATGATATCCGTCCTTAGGAAATCTTGATCCAATTTTGATCTATCTCCATATAATTTTGCAGAATCTAGGGCAATTTTAAGGTACTATGCTGAAAAGTACAAAAACCAAGGAACTGATTTGCTAGGAAAGACAATAGAAGAAAGGGGCCTAGTGGAGCAATGGCTAGAAGTTGAAGCTCATAACTTCAACCCACCAATCTACAACTTAGTCATGGATCTCTTGGTTCACCCATTATTGGGCCTTCCATCTGACCCAAAAGATATTGAAGAGAGTGAAGAAAAACTTGGAAAGGTGTTGGACATTTATGAGGAGAGGCTATCAAAGACTAAGTACTTGGCTGGTGATTTCTTTAGCCTTGCTGACCTTAGTCATCTCCCATTTGGACATTATTTGATGAACTCAATGGGGAAAGAGAATATGGTAAAGGAGAGGAAGCATGTGAATGCTTGGTGGGATGATATTAGCAATAGGCCATCTTGGAAGAAGGTTCTTCAGCTTTACAAATACCCTATGTAACTTGTTTTGTGAAAGTGGCTGTGTTTTTCTTTTGAATAAAGCAATGATCCCTAATATCCATGGGTTTGTAGTATGTTTGAAACTTTGCAATAATACTTTGATGCTAAAGTTAGCATTTAGGAGTGTTTTTGGATATCATTAGAAAAATAATACTTTGATGCTAAAGTTAGCATTATCTTCTACCCAAAAAAAAATATAGAATTATTTTTTTAGTGTTTTAGGTCATCAATACAAAACATGTACATCAAATAATTGCATCAATCTTTAACTATAAGAAAACTGTATATTGGGTTAACTTGTTATTGATTAATTATAACTTCTTTGAAACTTACTATCACTAGAACCAACACACAAATCTATCAACTCAAATTCATCATTCAACTACTCGATCTCGCTCTATCAACTAAAGTTCAACATTCAACCACTAGATCAATAGAACCATAACAAGGACACTGAAGATGCAACCGGTTCACTCACAACTGCAAAATCACTCAAATTGACACTTAATTGCTCGAACTTAAAATTCAACCGCTTTAACGAAAGCTTACACAGTAGAAGATTCCTATTGAAAAGTTGAAGCTCTGGCACTAAATCAAAAACTGTTGGCGATTAAAATCTCACGAGGTATAGAGGTAAGGAGATCACAGGTCTCAGGTGACCAATGTAGCTGTACCAGGTAGGGAAAATCAAGGTGATTTTAGGGGGAGACAATTGACAGGCTTAAGATCGGTAAATTTGCATAATGAATTGGTTAATTTTAGCTGAAATTGGAAATTGCAAGGGAAAGAGGTAGATGGAAAGACAAGGCTGAGCTAGGCATAATTCAGCTGACAGATTTTCCTCCCCATTGGATCCACTCATGAGCAGCATCTATTAGAAAATGTATGGGACTAGAGGGAGGCAACTATTAGAAAATCATTAGGGAATAAAAACTCTTAAAAAGAACAAAACAACTAACTAATATAAAGAATGATGCTGCACATACAGTGGTTGCTTGAAAATGGTTTCCGCTTTCCATAATAACCATGGAAATTCGACATATATATTATTCACCCAAATTCAAGATTTAACCAAATATGAAGAAAACTGTAGTGATGCATCTAATACATAAAAGCATATCTACCAAAGTACATATTACTCTAGTACAATTTGAAAGAACGTATTTCAACTACTGTCGTCAATTTCAAAATTACTGCATAACCGCAACTTACACCAACCACTTTTTTCTCAATGGCGGTGCAACATGTTCAAAGACCCCTGTCATGATAATAGAATATAGACTATATCAGTAGAAGAAAAACAAAGCAAAAGATAATAAGGGCAAAAGCATATGAAGATAACGAAAATTTCACATGCTGACATGATGATAAAAAGTAAACCACCAAATCCGTGCGCGACTTTGTAGGACGCTCTCATATAGGTCCCTAAGATTATAAGAACATGAATATTTCCAAAAGGTCCATGACTCTGTCAAATTTTACACACATTAGTCTTTCTTAGAGCCAGGGACCAAATTTAGGGACCACCTTGTAATAGAGTCGTTAAACTTTTTGAAATATTCATAATCTTGGAGACCTATTAGAGAGCGCACTACAAATTTAGGAACCAATTTTGTGGTTTACTCGATGATAAAATATGCATTAAATTCAATATAAGTTTATTCTAATTCCCAACTCAAAAAGAATAGAAACCGGCCTAGCCTTACACAAAATGGGAATAAGAAAGATAAGTAGTTCGGGAAAAAAGAAGTTATTAACAAAATAAAGTTATGACCTTTTCGAATTATTTATACACCTCACTGTCAAGTAGATGATGATAAGAGAATACTAGCAACCAAAAACTGCCACTACATTTGGTTGGAAAAAGGGGGTGACCAAAGAGCTAGATGTTGAATGTTTTCCCTTTCAATCCCCAAACTTTTGAAATAATTATATGACATGTACTTGTGTCAATTTAAAACAGCAATTTCAATAGTTAGCAACAAGATTCTCCTTCCACAACAACAATTCACATAGGATATCATTATCTCAAAACTAAGAACTAATTTGTAAGCAAAGGAACATATACAAAAATAATATAACTTCCACGTCGATGTCTGAAAGTAAATAGTAAATGTTTGAGGCAAAACAAAATTACTTCAACTAAAAGTTCTCAATTTACTATCATCAGATATTGGGGCTAACTTAACAACTAAGACAAAATTCTTTCATCTCAGCTGAAAATTCACATATCACTTTGCTCACGAGATCACATTTTTGTTATCTTATGATGAATGAATGGCCCAGCAAGACTGGAAACATAATTATTAGAGAGAAAATTATTGCATCTATAATTGTAATAAAATGATAAAAACTTGTCTTTTTGGTGCAGGCACTGTGACCTGAATTTAGTGATGATAATGGCATAAAGTTTCTTATCAAGCTGCATCCTATTATATATTTTAAGGCAGGAAAATCCGTCTGATATAGGAAACAATTACCTGACTTTCTTGATCATAATGGCCTTTAGTTTCCTAGCAAGATCCTGCGATCGAAGCCTACGCTGCAAATTCTTTTGCGCTAACACACGCTTCTCCGAGTTCTTAATATGAAACCTCTGTTCAATCTTTATCATCCTCTCGATCCCACTCGATGTCATCTTACGTTGCATCAATGCCAATGCCCCTTCCAGGTTTCCATTATACACCTGCACTCGTATGCCTCTGCTTTGCTGAAGCTGAGCAGCATTAAAAGGTTCAGTTGCAAAACCCGACTGCCTGAATAAGCTTGATATGCGTCTCGCAACTGAGTTCATATCTAGTGAAATGAAAATGAAGTGAACACGATTACAAACTTTATTCTGATTCTCAGAACAGCATTTAATCACTTTGATTTTCTTAAATTATTACCGGTGCCTACGAGTATGTGCTTCAGTGAACTTTACTATGCTTATAACAGGGTCAGTTAGGGTCGGTTATCTAGAAAACGAAATAGAACAGATACATTGATAATCAATCAATGAACAGTATTCAAGTTATGAATTTTCAGAGTAGTAATTCACAGAACTCGTTTTTGTGAGCGTTTATAAATCAAATCAAATCAAACAATTAACTTAGATTTAATCTCATATTCAACAAACCCTCTACGAACATGTAATAACATGAAAATTCAATGCGAGTGGAATCCACAAAGATGTTTAATAGCAACATTTGGAAAAACCCTAATCGTAAGCATCAAAAGCCCGATTCGAACAGAAAAGAGGAAGTAAAATTGAATAAAAGGAAAAGTTCCACTAACTTTCCTGTTGTCTCTGACTGCCGGCGAGAAACTCCGATGCGTTTTTCAGGCGAGTTGATTTCGGTGCGAGTCACAGAATACTCAACGGAGTGAAGGATAATGGGGCGGTTCAAAACGAAATGAATTGGATTTAAAGGGAAGTTTGTGTTATGATAAAAAAAAACTCAAAAATATTCCGATGCCGGGAATCGAACCCGGGTCTCCTGGGTGAAAGCCAGATATCCTAACCGCTGGACGACATCGGATGGTTGGAGACTTACGCAAACTTTATGTTTATAATACCTACTAATTGTTTTACTTGTCATTCAACGCCTCCATAAGGAAAAAAAAGTTTGTAAAGTAGTTAATTTTTAATGTTTTTTAAATTCTCATTCACAAAAACAAATAAGTCATACTTAAACGAGACATTATCTCCAATGTGTGGGGGCGAATATCCACTGCATCATGCTATGTTGTTGCCTAAGTAAGTGTTGTTGGTCATTGATCACATTATTATATTATGCGTGAACCTTCTTCAGATTCGCTACTTCTGTCTTCAAGGCTGTCAACTCTGAATATACCATGTCCTAATGTTCTTGATTACTTGCATTTGGCTCATTTTCTCTGGTAGAAGGAGATGGGAATGGAGAGACTCGCTCTCCCATATCCATTTTATCATCATTATTAGAGTTAACATCAGTATCCGCTATGTACAATCAATTACCTTTATTGTGCACGTTGGTCATTCTCGAGTTCGGCATCACCATGTTTTGTTGTGGGGTGTTACTAACATATAGGTATTGGGGCTAACTTTTATAATCAAAATTCAAGAAAAACATGTAATGATATTTAACCCAATGTTTTCCACTACAACATCCAACCTCCTCATCTGTCTGTCGTGCCCTAAGGCCTCAACGAAGGTGGTAATTATACCACCCACAACATGGTTCCCTTTTTGTGGGTTTGGCAATTTTTTTCAAGCGCACCACCACAAAGCTTGTGGTATGAATTGGGAGAAAGTTAAAGATATAGTAAATTAAATATAATTATTTAAATCTGGAATTGTCGGTATTGTCACCCCTCCCAAAAATGGAATGTGCAAACAATTTCTGGACATAGTGAATGCATGAGTTATGAATATGTGAGGATTTTTCCCTTTTGATGGCGTCAATTCAATCACTAGTGAAAAGCAACCAAAAATTGCTATATCTAAACCCATGTAAACTCGCAAGGACTTTTCGCCCCCTCTTTCAGGAAATTTAAACAGATTACCAATTTCAAAAAAATATAATACTCATGATTATTTTTAAATATCATAAAGGTGACCGCCCCAAAATGTCTTATCAACCTTTTTCTCAATTCTAACTTAACAAAGCTAAGAAATTTGAGTGTTAGCTGAGTGCAAGATGTGATGTTTCAGAGACAAAAGTGTATGTAACATAGTTGGTCAAACATCCACTCTACGTCAGCTAAAATTCTTAGGCTTTCTAAAGTAGGTTAACTGACATACCGGCTAGGCACAATTATGCGATGAAGAAGTGAAGTTATGCAAAAGAAATGCATGCAAAGCTTCCTAAAATAAAACAGAGTCGCCACCTAACTTTATTTATTCCAGAAATAGGGAAAGTAAAATATAGAGAAAACCTCAAAAATGGGAAAAGAACATGGTCTCGCAACAAAATATCGGGTAAGGGAGTCGATTACGCAAGGGGGAGGTATTAGCACTCTTCACGTTTGTGATACTCCACGGTATCCAATCTTGTTATTCTAATCAATGGGTTATATATATATATATATATATATATCTACAATTTACTTGCTAAAGGATAATGTATGCATAAATTCATTGGGAAGGAGAAAAGATTTTTATTAGTGCGTTCACCTGAGCTTTGCAACCCCATGCCTACGTACCCCCGAAAGGAATCAGAACATTATAGTTCTTAAAAATGTTTCTTTGTTGTGTGTTTTTTATGAATGATGTTAAGTTCGAATTCTAGCAGTTAGAGCTTGTCTATTTGCAGTAGAATATAGTTAACATGTCCTATTTGAAAAGGTTTTAAGGAGAAAAGTCAAGTGGAAAAATGATTTGGATTTGGTTTGTACTTTTGTTAGGAGAGAGATAATAAGTGAACCCTCATCCAAGGAGACACTCATCACCTTCACACCTTTAGTTTTAAAAGAGTTTTGAACATTGATTAAGTGTTTTCTGGTTTTGATTAAGAAAATGTTTCAGTTTTAAAGAATGCAATGCAAAAATAAAAGAAAGTCTAATGGGAGACTTGATATCTTAATGTTGTCATGCAAAGTGGTCCTAAGATTGAGATTAAAAGGAATCTAACCTAATGTTGTCATGCCATGGTGAGCTTAGAGTTTGGATTGAAATGAGGAACTTCTATCATAATGTTTCCATGCTTGGATTAAAATCCTAATGTCTACTTTGGTTCAATCTTTAATCAAGGATTACAATGAGTCAAGTGAGCCTAAGGGATCATGTAAGTTACACAAGCAATGAAAAAACAATTGAATTAATTCAAACAAAGAGAATCAACATACTTATTAAGTAAGAGTTGTAACAAAAGGGTGAAAGATGAAAGAAAAATTTGATGAAAAGATCAATCATACATGTTATGGTTTGTGGTTAAAAGGAGTTTCTGAAGGAAATACATCCTCAAAGACAAGCAGACTTATAAAATGTGGACAAATGTCAAGGAGAAAATCAAGCATGGCAAGCATATGAAGATTAAATCATGTTATTTAATAAGTTAAGAACATACATGTATATATGATCAAGATATGGTCAAACTCAAAGCAAGTGTGCATCAAGTGTTCATTAGTCAAGCAATAAATAAGTTTCAAAAAAATTACATGCATCAAAATCTAAGGGAAGTATCATAATCAATTTAGGGCTTTTTAGGTATAAAACACAAGAATATATTCATCAAAGTGTACAAACCCTATATAGAAATCAAATTAATAATATCATCAACACCAAATGATACTCAATCAAAGCATATTATGGCCACATAGGCACAAATGATCAAGTAAGTGGAAGAATCAATCAAAAGATCATCACAAAAGTCTTTAAAAATACCTTTAAAAGGACTAGTTTTAAACTAAATGAAAATAGGTAAAATAAATATTATTTTTTGGATTTTATCATGTATTCACAAAATAAAGTAGATAAATAAGGAGTGTGCAAAAAATCATCTCAAAAGGAGTTAATTTGCATATTGAGAATTAATGGGAAAGTTAAAGAAGAATAACAAAATAAACAAGTGTTTAAAAAAATAAAGTTGCTGCTCAAGGGGCTTGAACTTGCGCCCTCATGTTTTCAATTCAAAAGATTTTCCATTGGGCCACTCACTTGCGGTGTTAACATAGTGCAATCATTGAAATATATACAAAACAAGTTGTTAAATGTCTTTTAAAAAAATAACACAAAAGGTCTGGGGTGAGGGTGATTCAAACCCCAGACCCCACGCATCAAACACAAACTCTCGACCAGTGGTTCTACACCCTCATCCATTCACTAAACACATTTAGTTAAAAAATAAAACAAACTTGCTTTTGAAAATGAAAAACGTGCACATACCATCATCATCTTCAACCTTGAGATTTCAAAAATGGTGAAAATGTAACTCTCTCAAATCTCAACCAAACATAATGATGCAAAGACCAAAGTTTCCCTAAATTTCATAAGCAATCAAAAAATATAACTAACATCAATTATTATCAAACACAAAACAATAATTTGAAGCAAAACCAAAAACCCTATGATTGTTTCAGATTCACGAAACTTTTCACATAAGCATAAATCCTTCCAATAGACATAGGGTTTAGCATCAACAGATCATAAACTACATTTTATCTTTAGGAATCAAATGCAAATTATGAATGGATGTATGAGTTCCAATTCCAAAGCAAACTTACCTAACAGAGAAGGTCTGTTACCTCTTTCAAGCACTTCCTGATATGAAACGATGATGCAAAGAGCTTCCTTGAATCTCCAGGAAGCTAATGGTATAACTATTTTGCCTTGAAACCTTCTGAATCCCCCTGATCAACTCAAGTTGCAAGGTGAAAATGAGTGAGTCGGTTGGAGTGATGGGGGTTATCCTGAGGTGATATAATGCACATAGCCACTCACATATGTTATGTTAGTGGTGATTATATGATTAGATTGCAAGGAAATTGTAAGAGGAGAGAAATTCGAAAAAATGGTTTCTTGAAGCTTTAATGGAGTTTCAAAATTCTACTATGAGTTTCTCTGAGTTTCTAAGGTGTTTGATATGTGTTTTGGGCTTGTGAAGTGCCCTCTATTTATAGGAAAACATTGGGAGATTGAGAGATAATAAGGTTTAAAATATATGGAGTTTAGGTTTAGTTGGATTCCAAATGAGAGTTTCATGAAATCACATGGTCCCAATGCATCAATAGGGTGGTTGTCAATCTTAGAGGTGTTGCTTCAAGCATTCATGTTAAGTGTGATCAAAAGAAACAAGTTAGAGTATCAAGGAGTGGACTTTGTGATTAAAGTGT